AGTCATTTCTGTGGTTACATATCCAAGGATTGCATTAGTCTTCCTGGCCACAGCTGTAAGGATAAGGCCTTTTCCTGTAGTCATATTGTATGGTCTGAGGCATTTCTCTGAAGCCATGTTAGGAGCAGCAGCAGCCGCCATAAGCCAGGAAGCAGAAAGTCACATCCCCACATTCCATCTAAATTACATTAAAACAATGTACTATCAGGCTGTTAAGAAGGCGATCCTGTCCTAATAGTATCCATCACCACCAGATAAAGAAATAGATCTTAAGATGGTTAAAGAAAACTTTGTTTGATGTCATTCTGTCTGGCAAGAAATCACATATCAACAAGTTGTGGTTGTGAAATCCCTACTTCTTTATTGTTTATTGTTTTGCCTTTATGGTCCCTATTTCTCTATTGTTTACTTGTATGGTCTCTGTCTGGTTCTTTGATTGTTTCTGTCTGTTGTAACTAATTTTGCTAGGTGTAAATCAATTAAGGTGTGGAATATGATTGGTTAAAAATTTGTTTTATAAAATGTTAGGATTGGTTAGAAAGTTGTTTAGTAAAATGATTGGTTATGGTATAGCTAAGCAGAACTCAAGTTTCACTATATAAACTGTGGCCCAAAAGGAAGTTCTCTGGAACCAACTCCAGGACACAGCCCCAAGATCAGAGCTACCAGACCGCAACACTCTGCTAATGACACCATGCAGAAGCTGGAGTTCCCCAGCTGACCTGATCCTGACTGGCCATCAAAAAAAGTTCATCTGCCTTATTGGGAGTGGTGAGCATTGTATGCTTAGAGTGTGCATTCTGTTTTGGTGATTGTTAATAAATAGAGGTTAATTAGGATATTACTGTGTAAGGCTCTTTAACTGGTAAAAGATTCCGCAAACCCAGAGTGTAAGGTTATGCCCTGAGCCCTAGGAACAGGGTAAGGGTGGATGCCTAAATTAAGAGGGCTACGCCTTGAGCCCTAGGAACTGGGTAAAGGTGGGTGCCCCTAGAGCGTGTGAGTAACAGAGAATTTTGTGCAGGTAACACAGCATTGTAGTTGGAATTCATGTTCAGTTGGTTATCCATCATGACCCCTAGAGTCCTTTGCAGAGTCACTGCTTTCCAGGATACAGTTCCCCATCCTGTAAGTGTAATCATCATTTTTTGTTCTGAGATGCATGATCTTGCATTTGACAGTATTAAAATATGTGGTGTTTGAATAAGCCCAGTTTACTATGTGATTAATTACTCTCTCTATCTGACCTCCCATTATTTACCTCTCCACTAATCTGATTCATCTGCAAACTTTACCAATAATTATATATTTCTTCCAGATCATTGATAAAGATATTGGATATCATTATTATTTATTATATGTACATATTACCATAGTGCCTCGGAGACCTACTCATGGACCAGGACTCCACTGTGTTGTACAAATACAGAACAGAAAGATGTTTTTTGCCTTAAACAGCTTACAATCTAAGTATAAAACAAGATACAACAGATAAGATATAGATAGAAGGGGGAGCACGAGGAAACAATGAGACAATACTGGCCAGCATGATAAGCAGTGGTCTCTGCACACTAGCAATCTGATCAGAGGCAAGCATCGATAGCTTGACAGTGAATGAGAGATGATAAGTAGGGTGGGGATTAGCTGTAAAGGACCTTAAAAGTGAATACAAACAGCTTATATTTGATGCGATGCAGACAGGAAGCCAGTGGAACAATTCAAAGAGAAGGGTAACATGGTCAAAGCGATGGGCTAGAAAAGTGATCTTTGCAGCAGCATTCTGACTGGACATGAGAGAAGCAAGATTACACATTTGTCAAGGCTAGAGAGAAGGATGTTGCAGTAACTGAGATGCAAGATGGTGAGAGTTTTGACAAGAGTTTTAGCTGCATGCGTGGATGGAGTGGGGTCCCGCAGGGATCAGTTCTGGGTCCCGTTCTGTTCAATATCTTCATCAATGATTTAGATAAGGCATAGAGAGTACACTTATAACATTTGTAGATGATACCAAGCTGGGAGAGGTTGGAAGTGTTTTGGAGGATAGGATTAAAATTCAAAATGATCTGGACAAACTGGAGAAATGGTCTGAAGTACATAAGATGAAATTCAGTAAGGACAAATGCAAAATACTCCACTTAGGAAGGAACAATCAGTCGCACACATACAAAATGGAAAATGACTGCCTAGCAAGGAGTACTGCACAAAGGGAACTGGGGTTCATAGTGGATCACAAGCTAAATATGAGCCAACAGTGTAACACTGTTGCAAAAAAAAAAGCAAACATCATTCTGGGATGTATTAGCAGGAGTGCTGTAAGCAAGACACGAGAAGTAATTCTTCCACTCTACCCCATGCTGATTAGGTCTCAGCTGGAGTATTGTGTCCAGTGCTGGGTGCCATATTTCAGGAAAGATGTGGACAAATTGGAAAAAAATCTAGACGAGAGCAACAAAAATGATTAAAGGTCTAGAAAACATGACCTATGAGGGAAGATTGAAAAAATTGGGTTTGTTTAGTCTGGAGAAGAGAAGACCGAGGGGACATGATAACAGTTCTCAAGTACATAAAAAGTTGTTACAAGGAGGAAGGAGAAAAATTGTTCTCCTTAGCCTCTAAGGATAGGACAAGAAGCAATGGGCTTAAATTGGAGCAAGGGCGGTTTAGGTTGGACATTAGGAAAAACTTCCTGTCAGGGTGGTTAAGCACTGGAATAAATTGCTCAGGGAGGTTGTGGAATCTCCATCATTGGAGATTTTTAAGAGCAGGTTAGACAAACACCTGTCAGGAATGGTCTAGATAATATTTAGTCCTGCCATGAGTGCAGGGGACTGGACTAGATGACTTCTCACTGTCCCTTCCAGTCCTATGATTCTATGATAGGAAATAGCATATAACTGCTATTCTGTTTATATAGTTACGCTGTATTACAGATGACCAGAGGGAGGCTCCCAAACAACTTATGAATACGAGAAATAGTGGCAGAATCTAGTTCTCTGAAAATAGCATGTGTTGTGTTAAGTTACTCAATATTTATTTAGAAAGAAAAATGCATCTTTCATATTGGCTGGGATATTTAAAAGGCCATTTTTGCAAACAAGCAATTTATTAGATAGAAATAATAAATAATATATAGCAGTAAGGTTTATTAATTTTATTGTTAAATATGCAACTATGACACTTATTTGTATATACAGTTTGTAACATTATACACTTCTAGTTTTCTAACAAGTGCTTGTTATAAAAAAAATATTCTGATATTAAAGCCAAGTGATAGCTGTGCATTAATTTAGCATTTGCTGTACTATTCACTTCTGATAAAAGGCAATACAATCAATCTAGGAAGATTTACAATTAACTGCATGCCAATGAAGCTCACATAGTTTAGGTATGTCTTTAAAGAAAATTCTATAGTACAGATTTTTTCCTGCATGCATTTTAAAAAATTGCCCACAGAGTACTTTATAATTTGTTAAAATGTACTGATTTGGGGATTCAGAGAAGTTTGAATGCAAAGATGAAAGTACTGCGAAGTGCTACAGTGCCTGGCATTGAATTGTTTAACTTTCATTTTAGAGGCAAGTGCAAATATTTAACTTTACCACAAAATATAGCACATGGTTTTAGCCACACAATTCCCATTAAAGTCAGTGGGAGCTGAAGTTAAAACCCTACAGCACCCCCTTGAAAGTTCAGAGGTTAGTATAACAGGGTAGTAGTTTGTGGTATAAAGATATATTTCAGACTCCATTTGATGATTTAAAATGTTCATACGATACTGTTCATAAAAATAAACCTAATTAATATACAATAGGAAGATTAAAATATGTAGCAATTTTACTTTAATTACTGTCACGTTAAGCAAATGTACATTTGCTTGTTTAGGGCACATTCTGACAGCATCAAAGGCTGTCAGAATCTGTCCCTAAGTCTCTTTAAAATTATACAGTTTCCAGACTTCATATTTGAAAAGAAAACAATTATTCCATCATATTATATTAACAAGATCATATTAGAGCCTCCTCCTGCTCCCACTGACACTAATGAGAGCAAAATCGAATCCTTAGTAAACAGCTCTATGGATGTCCAGTTTCCATCTCTACACTGTAAATCCCCAATCCTGCAAATCTTCCACTCTATGGAGTCCCAACAAAGTCATGTAAGACATGAACATGAAAACTCAATTAATGGAAACAACTCAAGTCCCTACTGCACAAAGTATTACTCAGTCAAACCTGTTGCAATCCAGTAATTAAACTTAATATAAATTTGTTGGACTCCAGTAATTATTACATAAGCAGTAATTATGTAAACAGGTATTGCATTGCAAAGTAATTATCCACTAGTTTCAAAACATTAAATATGCTAAACATTTAATCTGATCCTGAAAAGATTTAAAAATGTATTTCCTGATAGCTGTTCTGAGGCAGTATTCTAAAATAAAACTGGTACATAAGAAAAAAAAGATTTAAACTTGAAATTAAATCAAGTCTTAACTATAAAATGTATTGAACATCAAATTAAAAACACACAGGGAAACTGACAGGATCATTCACGGGACCCTTCTAATTGAAGCGGAGAAGAATTTTACTCAATATATCTGGGAATACCTTTGGAAGTCTCTTAAGAGAGCAGGTTGCCTATTAAAGGTTGTTATTTGTACAGGTTTCACTGAATTCTACACTATCACAAGTAGATTAATAACAGATATATTAGGGATTGGTTTAAGGCACTTTGAATCCTCCATAATCTGTTAGGAACAAGAGCACACTTTATTTTACATTTTAATCTCAATATCTTTCTTCTTGTGGTTTAGCTCAAAAATTAGAATAGCTTATATTGAAGAAAATCTCTTTATAAAAATAGATATGTTATATACTTTTTAAAAAAATAACCCATGCAGCTTCTGTACAAAATCTATACAAATGTCACAACATATTTCATTCTGAGAAACTTTCATGCACATGAAAGGCTTCTATTTTAATTAAAACAAAATTACTTCTGTTTACAAAACACTGTTGCATAATCACTGTCCATCGCTGTCATTCATTTCGTTCAGAAGACATTAACTGGCTGTTTAATTTCATCAGCAGTTTTACGACAAGACCTGCCTACAAATAGGGGGGGGGAATGAAAAAGTTATATCAAGGATTTCCAGTTATCATATAAAACCCCCACAGCCTACTTAAATATACGGTAAACAAATTTATTCACCTCTGTTGCTAACACTTTAGATGATTAAAATTGAATTTTAAAAATCCAGTTCACTTGCAACTATTTATGCTGTTTGTCTTTTATTTCTCTCAGTGAAAAGAAAATCACCTTTACTTTAGTTCTTTTCACTTTCAGTCTTTTTTGCTTTCAGGTTCTCAATGGGGCAGTGTTTGAGTTGCAAACAAAGTACAGAGAAATATTTTAAAAACAGCAATTTATACTGGGATTTAAAATTAACATAGAAACATTTGTATTGCTATTATGTTTTACAAAGAGCTATTTTTTCTGGATCAAGTGTGACTTATAGTCACCTTCTAATATTATCAGTATAAGTTTTCTCAAGATTAGTGGCACCAGCCTGAATACCACAGTAGGTTGGTGTGACTGCAGCAACAAATTATTTTATAGCATAGATATATCATTTTAGGCAATGAGAGAGAAAAAGAACTGTAATTATTCCTAGCCCTCAACCTTTCTCTTGTATCTCAAGAGGCACTTATTTTTCAAGTACTGCATCAACCTTTTTCTCCTCCCCATAATATTAGATACGCAAAGGGCTGAAGCATGTAAGACACCAAAATATGTAATTTCCTCACAAAATTCTCTAACATAGCTGTATGTGGTCAAGCAAGTATTCCCAAACTGACTCCAGTCAAAGCGTTACTCAATAACAACACTACAGCACAGAGTTAATTTATTCCATCAATTGCTACACAGTAACTTTGTAACATTGCTTTCAAAGCTCTTTATTTCACCTATCCCCAAACTCTGCTACTTTTACTAATGCAATTACCAGCTCTCGTGATTTTATTGTGGGTCTCATGGTACTTAATATTTTTATTAAAACCACAACTCTTGGATTCATTTGATTAGGTGAGATACTAAGTTTAAAACTTTCATTTTAAATTTTTTTCTAACCCTCATAGTTGCAGAGAAACTTTAGATAACATGAACCCTAAAGGCTCAAATACCAGAAAGTAAATAAGAATCACCCAAATTTCTCATCATAAAATAATCTCATGATTTTTAATTCAAACATGATTTAGGGGGCCTGACACATGATGGATGAATACTTATAGAATCATAGAAATGTAGGGCTGGAGAGGCCTCAAGAAGTCATTAAGTCCAGCCTTCTGTGCTGAGGTAGGCCCTAGTAAACCTAGACCCTCCCTGGCAAGTGTTTATCCAATCTGTTCTTAAAAACCTCCAACAATGGGGATTCCAAACCTAACCTTGGAAGCCTATTCCAGTGGTTTACTGTCTTTATAGTTAGAAATTTTTTTCTAATATCTAACCTAAATTTCCCTTGCTGCAGATTAAGCCAATGAATTCTTGTCTTATTTTCAATGGACATGGAAAACAATTTATAACAGTCCTCTTTATAACAGACTTCAAATGTGTTAAGCGCTGGTATTAGGTCCCTCCTTCAAAGTTCTTTTCTCAAGACTAAACATGCCCAGTTTTTTTAACCTCTGTTCACAAATCAGGTTTTCTAAACCTTTTATCATTTTTGTGGCTCTCCTCTGGACTCTCTCCAACTTGTCCACATCTTTCCTAAACTGTGGTGCCCAGAACTGGACACAGTACTCCAGCTGAGGCCTCACGAGTGCCAAGTAGAGCAGGACAATTGCCTTACATATGATACTCCTGTTAATACACCCCAAAATGATATTAGCCTTTTTTGCAACTGCACCACACTGTTGACTGTCATTCAGTTTGTGATCCACTATAGCCACCAGACATATTACAAGTTAGCAGATTTACCATCACTGCTATGAACTTGATCTATAGACTTTGAAAGCACTTGTATATGATTCCTTTAAGCATTTAATAACTCTCCTTTTTTCTTTTTATTAATAAACCTTTATTTTTTAATTACTAAAGGATTGGCTACAAGCTGGTATTTGGTAAGATCTAAAGTATATATATTGACCTGGGGGAGTGGCTGATCCTTTTGGATTAGACAAATCTTATGTATGATGAATCTGGTTTTCAGTAACCTCTCATCATAAAGACCAGATGTCTGGGTGGTGATAGGGGGTGGATTACCTACGGGGAATGTGTTTTGGCTTCTTGTTAATCCAAGTGGAGATACAGGAGCTCACTTTTGTTACTGGCTTGGTGAACTCTAAAGTTAGAATAACCACCAGTTTTGGGGCGTGACTGCTCTGTTTTTTTAATCAGTCTGTCCTTAATGTGGCATTCTCAGCTGTGACTGATACCAGGCACAGTCACATCATAAATGCTTACTTTGCTTAAGAGCCATAGATTAGGGACTTTGTGAAAGGCTTTCTTAAAGTCCAAGTACACTATATCCACTGAATAAGCCTTACCATGTTTGTTGACTCCCTCTAGAATTCTAATAGAACTGCAGTATTTAACTACATTTTTTCAATGCTTACCTGTTTGGTATGCACTATGAAGCTCATTTTGTTTTCCAGACTATGGATTTGAAAACAGGTATCAGCATCTCCTAACTGCCACATAAAGCAACCATACTTTAGACTGATAAGCAAACCCTGCAGTGAAAAGTACAAAATGTTAAGAATATTTTCTGAACTATAATGTGAACCTTCCCCACTTTGTCTAAATAGGGTTCTGGTATGCAGTTAAGGGTACAGCATATACAATACTGAATTTTAAATAATCATCTGCCATAATACTAGGATTTCAATTTCCAAGAATTTAAAGCTGAAATTCCATATTTTTGAAGTTTTTAAACTTCACATATTGATTGTAAATGCATAGATTTTAATTCAATGCTCAGATGTGAAATAAATCACCAACACTTAGTAAACTCCCCATGCTCTTAACTTCTATGTAAACTGCCAGTAAAAACTGCTAACCCTCACCTTGGTTTCCATATTGAGGAGATGCAGTCCTTTTACATTTACTCCTACGTAGACTCTGATGACTTTATGACTGCTTGAACTTGCCTTGGTGAATACCTGTCCTGTGAAAAAAGCAGCTCCATAGGTAGGAATTTCCCAGCAATTCTGCAAGAACATGCGTTGCAGGTGATGCATCTCTTTACTTATACCTTCACTAGAGCTGAGACTCTAGAATTAAAAGAGCAAATAAGTGACAAAAGAAACTGTTTTAACAATGCACATTCTTCAAATAGGGCAAAGTGGGAACTGGTTTTCTTGAAGGGCTTTTTCTGAAAATCATCCTGAAATGATGCCACACCTGGAATAACAGCCTAATAGCAGTGTGATGGGATGTATCAAGCATTTGATGCTCCCTGTTGGGAGGCCCTGCAGCCTTCGCGCACCCCATTTGAAGAAAGTGTCCTT